AATGTAGTAAATTGGGCAGTGTTATATGCTTCTCTTGGGAATATAAATAATTACTACCACACTTATCCTTTAGAAATATTCTATTAGAATCCCAATTAAATTAGAATTACAAACAGATAGCATGTATGTTTTTACATGAAATATACATATATTATATGAAAAATATTTATACTTAAAGCTTTCTTGTTTATCTAAAATTCAAGTATAAGTGAACATCCTATATTTTTTCTGGCAACATTCATCACTTTAAAAGGATGAATAAACAAGTAAGCATACATTATAATGCTAGTTATTATAAAAGAAACTGATTGGGACACTAAAGAAATTTTAGAAATGTGAAAACAACCTCATATATTACCTTATCAACATAACATTATAAGAAATTAAAATATAAGAAAATACTAAAAAATTATTTGGTATTCTTCAGATATTAAAGTACAGAATTTTAAGAGACATATATAGAAAGCTTTATGATCAATGCCCTAGCTAATTTTGAACGACAAGTGGATATAGATGAGGCAGGAATTAACATAAGAAAACTAGAAAGAACAGACAGAGGAGACTGTTTACCCAGTGGTCAAAGCAATTAACTGTCAACTAAAAGTTACTTAGCAACCTACCAGTGGCTCCATAGAAAACAGATGTTATAGTCTGCGTCCATAAAAATGTCCAGCATTGAAAACACTACAGAGTAGTTCTAGTCAGTCCTAGAAGGTCACTATGAGTTGGAATTGATTACACAGCAGTGGGTTATATTCTTTGTCTTTAAGGGGAAGGCAGGGGGAAGAAGGGGAAAGTTGTTCACATGAACAGAATTTAAAATACCTGGCATTTTAAGTATTGTAAGTGCTGTCAGGAATGCACCTGAGAAGTCCTCATATAGTGTTGATAAATAGTAGAATGGTTGGTAATATACAATATGAGGAGACAATTTAAAGATCTTTTGAGGACTAAGGTGCTCCAAGCCATGGTATTTTCATATGCACATGAATGTTGGACAGTGAATACAGAAGTCCATAGAAGAATTTATGCATATGAGTTATGGTGATGGAGAATATTAAAAGTACCATGGACTATCAAAAGAACAAATGAATCTGTGTTGTTAGAAGTACAACAAGAATCCTCCTTGGAATCCAGGATGGATTCAGACTTCATCTCTCATACTTTGGAAATATTATCAGGAGGGACCAGTCCCTGGAGAAGGATATCATGATCTGTAAAGTTAAGGGTCAGAGTTAAAGAGGAAGACTTCCCAATGAGATTGATTGGCACAGTGGCAGCAGCAGTGGCCTTAAATATAGAGCTATGATTATGAGGTTGTCGAAGGACCAGGCAGTGTTTAATTCTGTCGTACATGGGGTCGCTGTGAATTGATACCAACTCAATGGCATCTAACAACAACAACAATATACCATTTGAATTTAGAAATTATCTTAAGGACAGATTTGATGCATCAGATACCAAAGACCAAAAAATCTGTGTGATGACATCAACAACACCACACAAGAATATGCCTTTAAAGTGTCAGTAGAGAAAGAAACACCAAAATGGGTATCAGTAGATACTGTGAAACTTGCTCTTGAGGGTAGAAAAATTAAAGCAACCAGGAGAAATTAGGACATAACAGAGTTCAACAGAAAATTTCAAAGGGCAGCTTAAGAATACAAAGTAAAATATTATAATGAAATGTGCAAACACCTGGAGTCAGAAAACCGATCAGCACTTTTCAAACTGAAGTAACTGAAGAGGTAAGTCAAGCCTCGGGTTGCAATATTGAAGGAGTCCATGGGCAAAATGATGTCCTGGTGTCATACTGTAGGACAAAAACTGGACTGCAAGGTTGTTTTGAATCTCTAGATTGGCAGTTCAAACTCACCAACCACTCCTCAGAAATCTTACTCAGAGTCACTGTGAGTCTGATCTGACTCAGAGGTACTTAACAACAACAAACATGGGCAAAATATTGAATGATGCAGGAAATATCAAGAGAGGATGGAATGAATATATAGTTGATGTACCAAAAAGAATTGGTTGATGCTTACCCATTTCAAGACATAGTGTTAGATCAAGAACTAATGGTATAAAAGGAAGAAACCCAAGCTGCACTGAAGTCACTGGGGGAGAAGAGAGGCCAAGAATTGATGGAATACAAATGGAAATCTTTCAACAAACTGATGCAGTGCAGAAGGCTCTCACTCATCTATACCAAAAAATCATCTGGAATATCAATCATTTGGAAAAGATCCATGTTTGTTTGTGTCCATTCCAAAGAAAGGTGATCTATTAGAATGGAAACAACAACAACAAGAAGCCATTGAACATTATCATTAGTATCAGACATGCAAGTAAAATTTTGCTGAAAGATAATTAAATTGTTGCAATATTACATGGGTTATGGGCTTCCAGAAATTCAACTTGGATTAAGAAGAGGACGTGGAACTAGGGATATCACTGCTGACATCAGAGGGATAATGGCTAAAAGCAGAGGATATTAGAAAGATGTTAACCTATGCTTTATTGAGTATGCAGAGGCATTTGACTGTGTGGATCATAAAATACAATGAATAACATTACAAAAAATGTGCATTCCAAAACACTCAATTGTGCTCATGAGGAACCTGTATATAGAGTAAGAGGTAGTTGTTTGAACAGAACAAGGTGATACTGAATAGTTTAAAATCAGGAAAGATGCACCCCAGAGTTATATACTTTCACCATACTTATTCATCCTGGTGAGCAAATAATATGAGAAACTGGATTATATGAAGAAGAACGTGACATCAAGATTAAAGGAAGATTCATTACCAACCTGTCATAAGCTTGCTTGCTGGAAGTGAAGGGGACTTAAACTATGTACTCATGAAAATAAAAATCGGCAGCCTTCAGTATAGATTACACCCCAATGTAAAGAAAACAATCCTTACAACTGGACCAATAAATAACATCTTGCAACATGGAGGCAAGACTGAAGTTGTCAAAAACTTCATTTTTCTTGGATCCACATTCAACACTCAAGGATACAGCAGTCAAGAAATCAAACAACTTACTGTATTCAACAAATCTGTTGCAAAAAGCTCTTTGATATGCTAAAAAGCAAAGATGTCACTTTGAGGGCTAAGGTGCCCTTGACTTATGCCATAATGTTTTCAATCAATATACATGTAAAATCAACATACATGTAAAAGTTAATTAAGTAATAAGGGAGACCAAAGAAAATTCAATACTTTTGAATTATGGTGTTGGAGAAGAATATTGAAAGAACCATAAACTGTACTTCTTCTAAGCCACAACAATCTCGAAAGAAGTACAACCAAAATGCTCCTCAGAAGTGAGTATGATGAGATGTCATATCTTAGTCTTTGGACATGTTGTCAGGAGGAATTTTTCCCTGAAAAAGGACTTCAAGTTTGGTAAAGTGGAATGTCCACGAAAAAGAGGAAGACCCCCTGTGAGGTGGAGTGAAATACTGGCAGCACCAATGTGCTCAAATATAACAATTGTGAGAATGGCAAAGGACCAGGCATGTTTGATTCTGTTGTGCATATCTGGAAATAACTCCATGGAACATCACAGCAACAAAAACATTAGCAGTCATGATTTGTCAGTAAGTCTTTATATTATGCCCCATTTATCAAATAGAAATTGGGCTTACTAAAGTTTTCTTAAGAAACTTTATATTCCCTGTGATTTTATCTACTTATAAATACATAAAAGACTTAAAAACTAGGACTCACACAGATATTTGTATGCAGGGTTCATTGCTGCGTTATTCATAATAGTAAAAAGTTAAAATATCTCAAGTGGACAAATAAAATATGGTATATCCATACTTTGGAGTATTATTCAGCCTTTTAAAAGATAAATGGTGTTCTGAATCATGCTACAACATGGATAAACCTTGAAAACATCAGGCTGAGTGAAAGACAAAGACAAATATTATATAATCACACACGTATATGTAGAAGAGTCATTTGCATAGAGACATATATTAGTTGTAGTTACTAGAGGTTGGAAGTATGGAGGAATGAGGAATTATTACTTAGTGAGTACTGAATTTGTATTTGTGGTGAAAACATTTTAGAAATAAATCATTGTGATGATTGCACAACATATTGCCATGTTGTCACTGAATTATACACTGAAAAATGGCAAATTTCTCAATAAATATTTTACCATAATTTATTTTTATATGAAAAATATATAGAAATAAATCAGTACAAAATTAACCAGAATGTTAATCGTGGTATTTATTAAGTAGTTCCAAATAGTCCATGATGGATGGATATTAAAGTAAAAAATATGAAATAAATATTTTCTTTTTGTTTCAGTAGATAATGCTTTTACATAGTCCTCACATTTACATTCATGTCACTTGTCACTTGAAAGGTTAACACCAATATCTTAATGATAGAATTAAGATATGAATAGCAATTTCCTCTTCTTTGTTTTTCTAAATGTTTAGTGAGAGATTATATATAATTGTTAAATAAATATTTAACTTTTAATAATTAGAATGGTTTGTTGATATATTAGATGTTGATATATTAAATTGTTTTGGTGAAGAAAATGATAAATAGAATAATCATTAATAGAGAATTTGTCATAAGTCAAATACAAAGTTCAGTGCTTTATTATCAAAGCAGTTATGTCATTGTTATTATTGTTAAGTGCCACTGAGTCGGTTCCAAGTCATAACAGTCCTGTATAGCATTTCCGAGGAGTAACTGGTGAGCTTGAATCACCTACCTTGTGGTTCAAACAGATCCTGCAGTCTAGTGCATTAACCTGCAGCACCATACCAGGACTCCATAATTTAATATCTCAGTGTCTGATTCCAGAGTTGAAGCTTTTCGCTCACTAGACATATGGATTGCTACTTATTAAATTAATCATATTTATCAAGCTGTGCAACAAGGTTTTTATAACTGAATCAAATGTAAGGAATGGGCTAAAGTTTATTTAGAAAATCAAGTTGTTCTTGCTGTTTCTTTTGTAAGCAGAGATGAAGTGGCCCTCTCCTCAGCCGGTGAGGCTGGTATTCTCATTGGCTACTGTCCACAACAGGATGCCCTTGATGAACTCCTAACTGGTTGGGAGCATCTTCATTATTACTGTAGCCTGCGTGGGATTCCAAAGCAGCACATACCTGAGGTGAGCTTTTTGGAGGTTTCCAGAATGTAAGGGTGGTAACCCTTCTTTCTCTCTTGCAGGAGAAGGAGAAATTTATTTGAATGATATTTTATAGGATGATTCTTTACAGTAATTGTACAACAGTATAGTACACCAGAACAAAACTCGGCCTGGTCTGGCATCTTCACAACTGTTGCTTTGCTGGAGTTCAGTGCTGTTGCCAATGTCCAGCTCTATCTTGTTGGAAATCTTCCTCTGTTATGCTGACCCTCCACTTTGCTAAGCATGATATCCTTCTCCTGGGGCTGGTCCCACCTGATAACATGTCTGAAGTAGGAGAGATGAAGTCTCACAATCCGACTCATCAAACACATGAAGAAATGCTATAATCATTAGCTCTTCCAACCAACCAACCAACTCATGGCTGTCAACTTGATTTTTACTCATAACAACCTGTTGTTGGTTTTAAGTGACATAGAGTTAGTTCTGACTCATAGCGACCCTGTATAGGATTTCCAAGGAGCTGCTGGTGGACTTGAACCACTGACCTTATGTTTAGCAGTCTACTTATCCTGTAGTGTCATATCAGGATTCCACATTAGATGGCAACTGGTACTTGTACTTTCCTATTCAGCTGGTTACTTTTTTTTTTTTTTTT